TACACTGGATAGCCCTGATTATACACTGGGTACCCCTGGTTATACACTGGATAGCCCTGGTTATACACTGGATAGCCCTGGTTATACACTGAGTAGCCCTGATTATATACTGGGTAGCCCTGGTTATACACTGGGTACCCCTGGTTATACACTGGGTAGCCCTGATTATACACTGGGTACCCCTGGTTATACACTGGGTATATATATCACCTATAACTGTACTTTAGATTAGAGAACAGTAAGACATACCATTATGTGGATATTGCATTCCTTGTAGTTCATAAAAACGCTTCTCTCTGTACTCTTCATCTGTTTGAGAGAAACAAAATTTTAGAACAACAATTTGAAACAATGAGAATATAAAATTGTATTTTAACTGCCAAGAATTGTCTTGATCTGATTTATTAGCCATTTATGAGGGGACAACATTTTGCCAAAATTACTATAACTCTCAGTCTTATATCAGGACAGCCACGGTCTTATCCTCGCAACATTACAATAGTCCTACAAGGATTGCCAATGATACTTGTTATGACTGCAATGAGTGTCAAAGACTTTCACGAAATTTTGCTATAAAATTATTAAATCCAGAAAAATTCTTCACAGAAAAAATTTATAATATAGTTCAACTTCATCATTATTACAGGAAAGCAAACAAAATCATGCTTTTGAGATCAATGAAATAAATGTGTGAATAATTGCCGATACAAATTAAGTTATAAAACCAGACATGTTAATCCAGTGTAGTTTGCACCATTCAGTAAATAATAAAATAAAACAGAATGTATACAGCTGTTGTCATGAATCAGTGGAGATTATATCAATAAGCAAAATTTAAAAACATTGTTTCATAACACGTACTGTAGTGAAAGCAATAAACAGTTCAGGTCACAGCGTAAAAGTGAGAGTAAAAACATTGCATGTGTCATAAAAAGTTTTCTCTACTAAAAGTTGCTCGTTAATAAGTGCTTATTTTGATTTTATTAATGGGGAAGAAACCCAATGCTGGGATCATGGACGCCATATTTGTTCTATTAGCAGTACGTAAATTTCAGGAGTTATAATGAATCTAGTTCAAAAGTTTAAAGTGCAAGCAGTCTTAGTCACAGACTATGTAAATATTTTTATTTCTGTATTTTATATTCACAATCGAGTAACAAAATCTGCTTTGAAAGAAAAATTGTACATACCTTAGCATTAAACTCAGATTTTTAAGAATAGTTTAACATAAAGAGGTACCCAAATTTGCAATGTTTTACCCAATGTCTACACAGTCACTAAGAAATCTTTAACAAATTAATGATTTAGTTCTGTGAGTTTTAGAAAGATTGACTGATGCCAAAGGATTACTAGTATATAAAGGATAAATGAAGTCTATTATTGTTATTGTTAATAATGATCCAATGTACAATGCATTTATGGTTTATTTGTGATTTCATTGAAGATAAGCTTTTAATAAAGCAAATAGGTATACATGTATGCGGAGTAAATGATTTGAAATTTAATGATATTTACATTTTTTTCTATAATTTTATTAGTAATTATGGATTAATTGGACATAATTTCCCAATGGCTTCAGATCTTGAACAAAATTATTAGACACATTTTTGGGTTGTTAAGATTAACTTTGGCATTCAAAGGGTTAAAGGTCAAACGAATAAAATACCATCCACATAGTTACAGAAATGACAAGAAAACATTCAGTCACATTTTATAATTTTGAATAGTTGCCAACGGAGAAATCAGGAAATAACTTACCCATTTGAAGTTTTGGAACGAGTTTATAGACAATGTCTTGCATAGTACGATCATGACTGAAAAAAAATGCAGAAAATTACAATTTTAATACTACAAGGGACTAAATAGTAAATGTGTTTAATAGAATGCAACATACTGAGAGTAAACATAGGGTAATTATAACACACAGCCTGCTACCACATGTGAGGATAATAAACTATATGGCTGTATTTATTACTGTTTGAAATAGTGGATTAGGACTACAGTATTTGTTCTATTAGTAGCACTTGCCTAAATGACTATGGCCAAAATAAGCCATATTTCAACTAACACAGTGCCTACTGAAGCCGTTTTTTCTCATTCATTTTTGCTATCTGTAGAGGCTTTAGAAGACACTGTGTTAATGCAACTATTGGTTTACATGAACCTTTATTGGAGATGCACTTCTAATAAAGGAAATACAGTATTACACAATGTCATATTATACAGAACCAATGTGAGGGAAAAGTAGATTGGGGGAGATAGTCTGACAAAAGGGTGGAGATATATTTGTAAAAGGCCAGTATTAACAGGTGCAGCCTGTCTTTAAAAAAACACCTTTTTTGGAGTTCACACATTGACTATTTAAAAAAGATAGGGGATTATTAATCAACACAATGGGATTAAGGAGATATAGATAAACATTTCATGTTTTGCCATAGCAGTGAGATTATACTGCTTAATGTACTCATTTGTATACATTATTATTATTATACATAGAAGATAATATTTGGTAATCATAGTCCTAAATAACTATTAAAAATAACTATTTTTACTAATAACTAATATATTTGTAATAGTTATTTAGGACTACGATTACCAAATATTATCTTCTATATATCATATTTATCAGTCCGAGCAGCGTTTATTTATTTATAAATTATTATTATACACTTCGTATTGTCTGTAACGCTATGAAAAACCTGATGAGTGAGTCGTGCAATAATTTTTCATATCATGCCCAGTCTTGTTCGAATATACTTTAACATATTTTTTTTTATAGATTGAAAGGAACGTGCACTCCAAACCGTTTTGCCATAATCTTATAGGGCTTGCCTCTATAAATGTAAAACATTGATCACGTTAGCTACAACTACAGTACAGTTCTCGCGGAAGCTTTGGCTTTTGTGGCATCATTGTCGCCTACGCATGGCTTCATTGTCGCCTCAGCATCGCATCATTGTGGCATCAGCTTCGCGTCATTGAAAATTGAAGCTGTGTTCGCCTCGCTATTTTGTGGCATCATCGTGGCCTCAGCTTCGCAGTCTCATGGCAT